AAAACAAGTAGCACTCCGACAGCCATTGAAAGAACAGAGAGAAAATATAGAAAAAAATGTTGCCACAGATTAAATTTTACATCTAATAAATAAGATATGTTGAACCGTTGCAGAATGATGAAGTAAAGATTAAAAAACTAAATTAATGAATCTCACGGGAACCGTAACTATTCCCGGGATAAAAAGTAGTAAATTTCGTTCTTTTCGTTTCTAGTTCTAATTACCTTGTTCTCCGGCGTAAAGAATGTATATTTATTATTATTATCGTGGAGGAAAAACAACACGTCGGTCAACACGATCACTAGTAAAGTCTGCATTTTACTGCGACCCTGCATCAAAGTCGCCACACCTTCGAATCTGGAAAAAAAGAACAAAACATATAAACTATGCTTTTTATATTATACTTATTTTTACTTATCTTCCATATCTGTTTGATTCTTAAAATTGTATGTAATATCAATAGAAATCCAGATTTCGTTACGATATATTTGCATTGCGAATAATGAAAACCGAATTTAAAAAAAATTGTTTGTCTGTCTGACTGTCCGCAAATTGCGTTTCTGGACTGATTTTTACTTTCAGAGGAAAGTAACGGACATGGACGGGCATATTACAATTAGAACAAACGGCAAAGCCTCCAGGCAGAAAGCCCAAAGCACAGGCAATCGTTATTTCCGAAACGGGTGGAACAGTTTTATCAGTATTATAACGGGAAATTAGCTAATGCACGCGGGAATATTATAGACTACTAACTTTCGCCTGCGACTTTGTCCACGTCGAATTAAAAAAAAATTGAATTAAGGACCCTCTGTGTTTTACCAAACTATTCCCTTTACTAAGCCAGATTTCATCAAGATCCGGTCAGCCGTTTAGATTACAAACTCTAACAAACATTCATACATCCGTCCATTCATCTAAACTTTCGCATTTATAACATTAGTGAGAATAAGATTCCACATGTTGGTTATACCGCTATCTATCTCCAGTTGAGTATACTGTAGACAAAATAATAATAATAATAATAATCGGTCTGAGAGTTGTGTAATGTTA